ATTGACGTCTTGTAAATTGATTCTTCAAATTCAATATACGTAAACAAAACGACTCAAGTAACCAAATTCAGCAGATTCTAAGCCATAATAAAATATTGAAGGGGAAACAGGTAACTGGCGCCATACTAGCACACAAACAGATCCATAAACTTCGTCTGAGACAATTTGAGGGGAGAAGACAATTATTTATCTTTCATCTGATATATTCGCTTACTAATCTTATCACCTGGATTTGTGGCCACAATGGGATTAAAATTGATTATTATGGTAATTAATATGGATTAAATGTAATAGTGTGTTACCAATAGAACCCTAATGGTAGACAGAGCAATAAAGTACCTATAGATACTAAGAATTTAACAAGTACATATCTATAAATTACAGTACAATCATTTATTGAATTTCGTTTGAAAACTTATTGTTCATTTTTAATGTCAAGTTCTGCCAATAATGGAGCTTCTAAACTTACAAGCTCCCACTCGTGTGGAAAATTTTGTAGTTATTTCATAGTGTCTAGACCACTTCTACTTTTTATTTATAGTATTTTTCAGTCTAGTTGGTGCATACTGACTGATACTGCAATAATAGTTTTAATACTTTTTATTAACAAAGGGAAAAGTAGTTATATGTAATATTTTTAAAAATATATTATGATAGCTTTTCGTGTAGGTTCTTGTTACTCTTTATCATCAAAATAATCAAACTGATTTGTAAAAAAATGGATTATGCCCAACTGCAGTATATAAAAGTGGTTTTCACACTAAAAACTGCAACACATTATCATTTAGTCATAAAAATAATGAAGTAGTTTGGAAGAATACAAGAAGTTTTTAATTTTTTTTTATCATCTTTCTTCGGCATTTGGAAATTCGAGAAAAAGTGTTATTTTGTAATATTATTATGAAACGTATTTGGTAATGAAATCATACGCACCTCAGTATACTTACTTAACTATGTAGAGTTTTTGAAACTTTTCATGGGTCTATTGAATAAGAAAGGCATTACTATCTAAAATAAATTTCTTAATCACCAGTATCGATATTGAAACGATAAAAATCGACTATCGTTATTTCGTTTTTAACAAGATTGTTGATACGTCATACGAGTATTATCAAGAATGATACATTTAAGTAAGCTTAACTTAAAATGATGAAGTGGTTTAATCCATTATCTACGACACTAACATCACGTGAACGGATCGGTGCTACGTAGTGACATATCTTGCAAATTTATTTCAAAGTATGAAGTCGTAGCGGGTAATGCGTCCGCGGAGACTCAGAGTCAGGTCACCATCGCATCTGAAGAGAAACTTTCTAATCTTTTAAACTTTCCCGAGAGCTCAGCGTGTATCGAGCTACCGCATGCAACATATAAAAAGAGTTTTGTACTGCTGTTTGATAGGAAACTTTGAGAGATTTTCTGTTATTAGGACCGGAATATGTTCTGGGATTTCATTACTTTAAATCCTTTATTTAGAATACTTTCAAAGGTATAATGTTACATTAACATTATTGGATTTCAACTGAACCGTTATCTTTGAGCCTGAAGATGAAAAAAGGAATTAATTGTTCTTTTACACATAAATTAGGCGTCACCTAAATAAACTCCGAATTGGGAGTCGCCATCAAAGGAAAAATGAAATGTGAATTTGTCGAGATCGAACTAATATACCTTCATCTGTATGCGAGTGGGCTTCAGAATAGTCACCTAATTAAAAAGTACCCTTTGTTATGCAGATGCGTCGAGTAATCGAAACTCGCCAATTTATAAAAACTCTTCATTTGAGACTTATCAACTTAAAGAAGTTATTTCAACTATCTTGTTTGTTTTAATATAAAGAAAATTTTTATTGACTGTCAATGAATATTCAATTTCTTTTTGTATTTTGCAATTTTTAGAATAGAGTTAACAAAATCTTAATTTGAATGAGAAAATATAATATTCAAATAAAAGTTATACACTGATAAAAATGAATCAAGATTTTTCAGATAATCTAAAAATAAAAAATTACCTTGAAAGCTCAGTGACCTTCTTGTGGAACTAGTTACGAAGTTTATAACTGTGCAAATTACATTGCACCAGATAGTTCCATTTTTAGATTGAATATATTTCTAGACCGTGGTAAGAATTTTACAATATGAAGTGATGAAATATTTTCCGCACACTAATTTTGATATGAAAATTGTGAAATGGTTCGTGCCTCCCAAACACAACACTCTTCTTTTTCTAGTGCATTCTGCTACAAAGTTTATGTTTTAATATTTATCGAATGGATGAAATTTCATATAAGTAATCGAATTTCCAGTGTTGTAATATTTATAAAATATGAACAAAGAATTTGACTGACAGCTATGTATATAATTTTTAGAAGTTACCATACTGTATATCTTTTTTCATTAACAATTTTTCAAACCTATAATTTGTTGAGCATTATATAGAGCAACGTCTTATAGCAGTATCAAAAATGAGCAAAAAGTTACATCAGCAATATTAAGAGACTTTTATCAAACTATGTATAATTACATGCAAACATACATGGCGTTCGAGTAACCCTTTTTATGTCATGGACAAGCGCTAAGAACTTCTAAAGGAATATTTTATCGTATTCATAAACGAAAATTAAATCGTGTATATAACAATGTAAGTAGATATTTTTATATAGCTTTTAATTAAATTAAAATAGGATGCTCTGCTCTTAGGAAGGTCAATTAAAAGAACTGCTCAAATAAAAGAACTAGTAAAAGGAGATTTAGAAGGTATTCGTTAGTGAACAAAGCTGATGTTATCTAATGAATAGTAATTTTAATAATTATTTTAGACTTGACATTAGTCCACTTATAAGTTATGTGTATTAAATCAAAAAGGAAAGTATGTCTAATAAAAAATACAAAGGCATTTCTGATAACAGTTATTTTATTTGTTTTACCACTCGTATGTTAATTTCCAATATGGGCGGTATTTTATTGATAACATTATTTTCTAACGAACTTCATACGTATAGTTCGGGGATTACGCTAATTGATTAATAATAGCCTATTAGCTAAATCTGTTTAATTGTTTCTGTGTCACTTGAAATTTATGTTATTAATTTAATGAATACATAAGGAAATTATATTTATTTTTAAAGTTTTGAATGACGTGACTTATCCCTATAAGGATTGACTATAAATAGCGGTTTGTCAGTAGAAGAAAAAATATTTTCTATTTCATGTATAACTACTTTGCAAACCAGATAAATGAAAAACCTATTTTTTTAACAGTGAAAACATTTTTATTCGTAAGTTTATTTTATAATCATCGTCCTATAAATAAAATAAAAATTTAATAATCAGGTTGAAAATTTCTTGGTGTACAAATAAAAATTACCTTTAAGTGTGTAAGTTGTCATTTACGAAATTATATAATGTAATATAATTTTCAGTTATTCAATTCAGTGTAAGTCGTTATTCTGAATTCATTCATGTTAAGCCTCCTGGTATTAGCGTATTAGTGAAATACAGTCCTCAATGATTTTAACCATTGTCCCTGTAATATTGAAAGATATAATGGTTAATAAACATAAATTTACTTATCGGGAAGTTGTTGTGGACGAAGTGAGAGTTGTTATGATAAGTAAATAGTATTATATCTGATTATATATCTATTATGGATTGATTTCGTCCATCATCATTGAACAGGTGCTTGCCACAATAACATCAGTCGGCGAGTGGGTTTACGTGTAATCGGTTTTAACATAGCATTTGCATAGAATAGCCTTCGACCAATTGGATAGAATATTCATTAGTAATCCCTGCTATACCGCCTGTTCGGATATTAAACTATCTTACAAGATTGTTGCTAGTATTGATGTATCTGATTGATTGTATTACTGATTGCATAATAGTTACTAAATTGTGTTTAGTTTGTCTTGTAAATAATATTTACATGCTGCGAAAATTATAATACGGAATATGAAATGATGAAATTATGGGTCTATTGATTTTTCAAGCCGTACAGAATGCTTTTTCATTTAAAACCTTACAATAATTTTGAAAAAACATCTGATTGCAGATGTTATTGGTTTGGTTTATTATAAAAGCATTTTATTGAATATTGAAATGTATACCGCAGTTATTCGTATTTTATGGCGTATTTATTGTGTTATTCGGTGCCATATTTTCATACTCGACGAATAGTTTTCAATTCACAAATTGGCTAGATATTAAACAAAAATTATCTGACTATTCAAAGAATTGAGATGATTCTAGGATTGAATTCAAATTGGCAGCAAATTGTTATCTCAATTATGTAGATTTATAATTTAAAAAGATAATATTTTCTTTCTATTCATTCGCTATATAGTATTTTGAATGCGAAAAGATTGTTTAGTAATTCTAAATAGAGCGGTTCTATCGCAATAACAAAGAAATCTTCTTGATATTTTCATATATTTTTCTCAGTATTTCCTTATGTAGGATTTTATATCCTCTATAAATTCAAGATCAGATTGACGCGACATCGTATCCCAATTGAATTGTTGTTCACAATTGTGTCATGCTGTACAATATTGACAATGTGCTTCTTGTAGTTGTTAAGAAACTTTTCATTATTTAAAGAGCTTCCGTAAAGAGCTATTTCCCGAGATGAAATACTTCATTTACTGACAGAAATTGTTTCATATAGTTTGTAATAAAGGAAATATAATTATCCCTGTGACTTACAGCATTCAGCGTTGTAATGTAACATGTTAATGCATTTTATTTATAGCTTATATAATATGAGAATAAAAGAAAGAAACATTACAGTAAAAGAGGTCCGTTCATCATTTAGGGAAGACGCAATGCAGTACAATATATGCTATACCGTTTTCTTATTATGGTTTATTTTCTTTTGTCACGTCAAAAGTATTGTACATATATGGTAATGGGGGGTTGTGTGATTTGCGCTCATGTGATTCAATTTCACGCGGCTGTATGATTGACGCGAACATTATGCAGGTGTTCGTCCTTCCAAGTAATTTACTATTTTATCTTTCCACGTCTTTTGTTCGAGAATGAGTTGTACGTAACTTAATGATGTAATTAGATTCACGATGTTGTGATGAGACGAGACTTCTCAGCATTCCATGGATTCACCGTGCGGGTGCCGGGTCCATCGCGTTGCAGGGGGAGGAGCTTCAACAGTGCCTGGGACTTGCGACCCAAGTGTAGGTTTAAGGGCCCCTTAACTAACGCGCGTTATACGCTCACCTCCACTGTCCAAGCTCCTCTCCCTACCTAACCAAATTTGAAAAGAACCTACTAGGGCTGCCTTCGATGTACGTTCCAAGAATGCATTAATGTGAGTTCTGGACAAGCCCAAGTCCTTTAGTAGGTTATAGAGAGATTTCGCTGTTATACCTCTCGCTCCCACCTCTACCGCGTACAAATCTACTACGAACCTATTTCGAGTGAGTTCGTTTGTGAGCTCGTAATATTTGTTGACCTTGATGGTATGGTCTTTGGGGATGTTGGTTTCCCAAGGGACCGTAAGCTCTATCATCACTACGCGCTTTAAAATTCGCGAAAACAAAAATATATCCGGTCTGGAGGCCGACGCACAAATATCCTCGGGGATTTTATATTGTTTTTCATACGTGTCCATCATTATAGTCCAATCCGACGCCGCTTTAAGGATGGAGTAAGGCTTGACGTTTGATTTTGTAGCCCTAGTGCCTTCTCTCACAAAACCTACTGATCGTTCGTTTGTGGTTATTCCCTTTTGCGCTCTGGCTACCGAAAGACTAACCGCTTCACGTATGACTTCTAGAACCCTATCGTGACGACGCGAGTATTGACCGCTGTCAAGGAGTACCTTACATCCCACCAGCAGATGCTTAGCAGTTCCAACTGCCTTTCCACAGATATAGCAAGTTTTTTCGGTACTTTTACCCCATCTTACTAAATTACTCTGATCTGGGAGAGTCATCTGGAACGCATTGAGATAGAATTTTAGCAATGCTGGCGACCAATCATAGATTAAAGTGCGCCATTTTAATGCTAATGGGATGCAAAAATCTCCTATGTCTAACCACTCGTTCTGCATTTCTAAATTCATTGCATGGATCTTATATTTATCATTCTCGTCTTGCCGAATAAAAGACTTCAATATATCCGCATCTTGGACTTTCCTATTTGATCCTAACCCCGCTCTGTTACTTTGCGCTCCTATCATAAATTGCTTATGGAATTGAAGTCGTGACTCTAGCTCGGGGGCATCTTCATCTTTTGGGAGCGATGTCACTATGTCATCATGGGATTTCCCCAGGATATATCTCTTGGAAACTCTTAGGTGTTTATAGAGCTCCGATGGCCTTTTTAGACTCATCCCAAAACTATTGCTTCCCCTAAATAACGCCGATGAATCAGCCGTTAGGGCGAGCCCGAGCCACAACTTCAACATCTTTATGACGCCTGCATCTAACTTTGACAAAAGGGTTTTATTAAAATCATAGACGAGGAAAGGCCAATTCAAACGTGAAGTTAAGTAATTCTCGTAGATCCACGCTTTTTTGACGTTACTTATCAGTTGGCTATCTACCTTGTTAAGATCGTTCAAAAAGCTATCTACTATTCCTTCTAAAGATGGAGTACGGCCTATATTATCTATCTTACGACCGAGAAATTTAAATGGTGCATTTTCCGTAACCGTAGAAATGCATTGACCGCCTAACGATAGTTTTATTTTTATATTTTATATGAATAATAAATATAATAATATAGCCCATTCGTAAAGCTATGATTTGACCTCCAGTTTTGGACGTATAGCATTCTCCTTTTGAGCAATCTACATATTTATCTTTATTTAGTTCCTATGTATGTAACTTAAGCTTATTCCGTTAAATTTAAAAAAATAAATAAATTTATTTGTATTAAATACATAATGAAAAATAAAATAACAGTAAATTGAAAAATGTATTATATATGGCCAAATTATATAATTTTAATTTTTATAATGATAATGTTAATAACGTTTTTTAAAAACGTTTAAACGTCATATGAGAAAAGCAATAATAATTAATCTACTAGGTTGTTTTTGAATTTTCAACTCTCTCGTGTATTTGGAACGTAAGCACTACCTTTGTTGGCACAAATTATTATGTTGTATAAAGTTTAGGGATGTTGGTTAATGAGGAGAATTTAACAACAGCTTTTGCAACACATATTTTTCACAAAGTATTTTTTAATTCGAACATAATATCGGGTCGCTAAATTGAAAACCTTAATTTTAATTTGTCTATAGGTTTTGAAGGTACAATAACTATAATAATACAACTTTTGAACGAATTTTGTTCAATGGAAGTGAATATTTTGTAATAAGATGTTTGTAATTTTTTTAATAATAAAGTAAGTTTTTGTTAAGAGCCTGCCTTCATAGACTTTGAAATCAGGGTCAAAGACAATACCATTTTATGTGTTTAATAAAATGTGTATAGTAATCAAACGGTAGAAGGATCTATCTTTTGTGTCATGTGACTCTATACAAAATGCAGCCGTGATGAAACGTACCCGAGGGAACTGTCGGGAATTTGGGAATAAAATATAGGCTACGTTTTAATCCACATTATAAATTATTATCAATTCATTCAAATTCGTACATTTCTGTATATAAATGAAATATAATTTAAACTACATTAAAAATTTACATACGCATTTATATGTAATGTTACCTTTAAATATTCTATTTTATAATATAAGTAGGTTGAATAAGTTTTGTTGATATTTATTGTCGATCAAATATATCTTTCATTTCTTTTCTGCTAAGTAATATCTTATATTTGGACTGATCGTTTACATTGAAGATTGATTTCCAAATCATCTTAATTCAATAGTAGTATTGCGAAATTTAAAAACTGGTTATAGAGTTCAAACAGAAAATAATGTATCTTACTAAAATGTTATATGTAAAATTTGTTTCTTTTTAATAACAATTCAGTTTTATACTCGTAATCATACAAATATAAATTACATAGATATATTATGGACCGCTAGCATCATCCGCCACTTACAAGGTTCTCCAAGTTGACGCATTATCGCTAGTGGGTAAGCTATCTTAATTAAACAAAACCCCCGACGCTTGATGTTTGTTAACATTAAGACACTTGTAGGGAGACAACTTCACCAACGGAATATAATATAAAGTTGTGATGACAGAACATGACGTATTGAAATATTGGATTCTGTTTATAGTGTACAGAACAGATCATATACATACATATATGTTTATTTATATTAAAAATTATTGCGCTAGTAATTTGCTTTTCACCAGCATAAAATATTATTGTATCATATCTTTTTTTCATCTATTCAGCGTTATATTCTTATTGGTAAAATGTGTGTTCACCGAACTTTGCAATAATTTTTTTTTACGTTGATTGCAATAAAATCTTTGTTTGGTTTAAAATATTTATCCAAGTTTATGTTAAATGGAGAAATACATATGTATAATAGAAAACATTGCCAAAATTTACCTATTTTAGTACGTCTCTCTATTATTCATTCCAGTGTAATGTCGGTCTACGTTTTTTATTATTCCTTAGCTTTTGTGGCAACTACTTAAGCCATTCATCCACTTCAATTATAATATCTTCTTACTAGAGAACCAGGTAAGTGGCAGTATTATTTTAAGAGAAATAATTTTGAATTTAAAAGAGTATGCAACGGTTTCTTTTTTTAACCATTTCATACGTGAAAGTGACCTTCCCAAATAAATAAATACATACGTAAATTTTAAACAGAATAATGAACTTATTTTAATATCTAAGTATCTACATTTTTTTCATAAAGGGATTGCTGCTTTTAAAAAACTTTTAAAGAATAAAGTAGGGATAAACTTTTTTATTATTATCATTGAATAATTAAATACTTTCACGATCTGGCAACACTAACAGTGATGGTGTAGCAGATTGAATGTGAGGTTGAGTTAAGAGGTTTACAGGTTGAGACTTTGTGAGAAGCGTCAACATTGTTATCAGTTACATTATAAATTTCTATAATACTGGGTAGTATTATGTACAATAGAAATATGTATATATTTTATGGATAATATTAATAAAAACAAGTATATTTTTCTCTAAATTCAATGTTTATTTTATTCAAATATTAGAATTGGACATATTTAAACAATGAAGTGAAAAATACTCGAAGGGATAAAATATGATATTGACTATAACTCACGAGCTTTTGTTCTCAAAACAGGCTAATAAACAGTAATTTTTGAAAAAAGGATTCGTAAGTCTAGAATAAGAAAAATGCTTATTTAGTGTTATAAATATTATTTTTACTGTTTTTATAATAAACCTTAATTTATATCTTAATTATTTCAGCAGTTGAATAATATAAATTATCCCAGTTTCAAACATCGGTCCGGTAAAACATTTACGCTATGTGGCAGGTGGAACAATGAGTTTTTTTATTAGGTTTCCACTAAGGGTAAGAGGAAAATGATCAAAAGACGAACAAGCAGCAATAATAATACACATTACGATGTTTTAAAATTAAAACAATGTGGAGTTAATAGTTTAATAAAAATTCAATTAGAAAACATGTAAGTCATATGAGAACTTGTATCTGGGCAAGATAGACTAATTGGTAAAGCGCCTGGAACGCGATATTCAGGAGATTGCAGTTTTGAATATAGCTCGATTCGATTATACTATTTTCTTTTTGAATTTTTATTCAAGAGTGGTAAACCTTTTATTTTTATCATTTGAAATATCAGATTATATTAAATATAAGAGAACAAGAAAGACATTTTAAGTAATGTTATTTAGATGATCAATAAATTATACTACATATTATCAACTTACGCAGGCAGAAATGAAAACGACAAACTTAGTCTTTTCAGAACTTTTAGAGTGAAGTCAAAAATGAACACAAAAAAACATACATATTTTGTATTAATGTGTATATCAAAAGCTTTATTTTTTTCATTGCTTAGTAAAAGATCTTTTCCCATTTGTCTCTGATGAGGATTTTGTGATGCCAATCATTTAAAAATGACACCAGTGAGAAAGGACACCAGTCAAAAAATAATCCGAAAAGATGAGCAACAAAAAGAAAGTCTAAACGTATTGTACTTGAACTTATATCTGCATTAAAGATGCACAATAAAATTGAAGTAAAACAGCGTAACTGTAAATAAATGGGAAAAAAATTGGGACAGGTATCAAATAGGAAACACCCGATGCTGAAGTACGAAATTTCACTACGAGGTTTTTAGTAGAAGAATGTTCTATTATCAGTTGAATAAAAAGCTCGATGAGATTGGAGGTCCAAATCCTAGTCATATTGATGAATCTTTCATTCTATATTTTCTTTTAAATTATGAGTTTTAATTTAAATATAATACAGACTGATGAGATGAGAGTCAATGTAGGTTATGTCAACAAAAAGTCCTTACTTTTGCTAATTTGCAAGAACTTACTTGCTAATGGCTTAAACTGTTGTTTAATTTTACAATTATTTTACAATTATTGGAATTAGCCCATTTTACAATTATTGGAATTAGCTTCACTTTGAAATACAAAGCTAGATATGTAGTATTAACATGAAAGAAATGCCGTGGTTGTGGAAGTAAAGGTGACGTGTAAATTTTTCTGCAGGCTAAAATATTTACAAGAAGAGTTTACTGCTATGTATTTTGTATACTAGTATAATCTGTAAAAAAGAGATTTAAAAATTACATTCAAAGACTAATATCCAAATAAAATAAGTAGAATTTTAATATGGCACTGTAATTTCTTAGGTACAGGGAATCGATAAGACTTACAATAAGAATAATAATAATCATACAAAATAGAAGTAACACAGTATGTATAATAATAAATCTATCATATAAAAAAAATGCTGAGTTTCGTAGGTTGGGTCACGACTAATAATAATAGGACCTAGAAAAACGACACAAGTTTACTTAAAAATATGTTACAATAGAAATAACTGCATACGTAATACATAAAACATATGTCACAGCCTTTGTTTTGTCCCTGCTGTTAATATAGTAATGATGTAATATTTCGTATAAAATTTCGTAAAGCTTTAGGTTCCCAATGTAAGGTGATGTTTTCGCGGAGTGGGCAAATCTTACGTTGTATCCACACAGCGATGATGCTGTTATGATATGTATGATTTTTAAATGAGTGTTTCCCACATGTTATACTTTGAATATTATTAGTCAATGACGTTATAGATCATTTCATAGTGATTTTTCCGAATCATATGTACTTTCTAAAAGTATTTAGACATCACTGATTAATGTTCATTCCCAAAAGAGGGTTTATGTCAGGCAGGCGGCCGGTCGTAAAAACAAATAGCCAAAAACTATTCACAACATGTAAGGCAGACCCTGGCTATAGCTGGGAAATTGCCAGGTAGAAGAAGAGTAACGTTATAGATCAGAGAAAT